CGGGGGGGGGGGGGGGGGGCAGCCAAATTTTTTTTTGCTTGGGGCGGCAAAAAACCTAGAGCCGGCCCTGGGTCAGAGCCATTGGCCCACCCTTCTGCTGAAACCTTTTGGAGGTGTGGGGCTGACACTGCTGCTTGCTCTAGTGCAGGGAATGCAAGGGACTACAGTTGTGGCTGACACCTACACTGAATTTAGAAGGCTCCTTGCATCCATCTCAAGTATTATGCACCCACAGAGGTCCAGTCACAATCTGTCCCATAATACACATAGAAGAGTGTTAATAACCTGGACTTCACTAATTGCCAAACCCAATAATCCATATTTAAAAAAATGAGTCTCCCTTCTTAGCAAATATTAAATAGTGTTGCAGTGAAGTTCCATATTTAGTAACTTATATAGATCACTATAGTATATTTAACAGTACTGTATACAACCATGTGAAATACTGCAAACTGCAGTTATCAGAAAAGGAACTTAAAGCATTTTTGGACAGTGTATTCTTGCTGTTTAACAATTGTTTATTCACTCACTGTTTCATAAAGGTTGTAATAATTAATGAGATTCTAATGTAATGTAAGGTTTCCTTAGCCTTTCTTCTTCAAAAGTAATGGTTAAGATATCAGGAATTTTTAACTAATATGATCCAACTATTTTGAGTGTTTCTGTACCTTAATAAGATTTAGGGAATAAACTAAATACTCAAGATCTTCTGAACATTTTCAGGTTTTTTTTGTCATTATGAAGGTTTTTGCTATTACAATGTTAGTAAAGGAGGTGCCCAGTAAAGACAATAGATATTGTCCCCAGGAGAGAGGAAATCTGTTTTTCTTCATAAATATTTTTATTAAAAAAACTGAAATCTCATAATTATATTTTTTCCTGTAATACAAGCATATGCTTGCATTATGGAACAGTTTTGTTTGAAAACTGCATTTTTGGTACAAAAATGTAGCCATTGCTAAAGTTTCATCAAATTTACTAGAAGATGCAGTGGTACCAAGGTGCCAGAATATATCACTTTTTGCATGTTTAACATTGAGAATGTGGCTGTACTCTGAAAAATGTTTGTAGAAATAGCACTGTGGTGTTCCCTGTTGTTATCTTTCAATGACTTCCATACTAAAGGTACTTAGTTAATACATAAAAAGACACTTCACAAGTGAAAGCTCAGCCTGGATTCCAAAACTCAACTTTGGTTCTTGTCTTGCTGTGCATCATCACCAGTAATAAAGATTCTGCAGGCCAAATGTTATCCTCCCATTTACCCTTGTAAAACTCCATTGTCTTCAAGTTATGCCCTCACTGAAGTTTTCAGTTACACTGCTGAAGCCTTATTATATTCCGATTAGTCCTATAAATTGAATTTAGTGAACAATTCTGCTTAAGATATACAGAAAGGAAAAAGAAATGCAGCTCACTCTCTCGGCTATATTGGCATTGCAGGACCAACAGACGTAAAAAGCAATAAAAACTTACTTTACTCACTAATGTGAGGAGACATAACTCTAGATACACACAGGCAGCAGATGGAATGAATAGGAAAGTACTATTTTTGCATAATCATTTTTCAGAGAATAATAGCATTTTAATTTAATGTCCATTATGGACTAACATGAGCATGTCCGAATTTTGCCTAAACAAGAGCTACACTGGCAGATTGCCAGGAATCTGAGAGCGATTCCAAATTTTCATAAACTGGAGCAGATTGCAATTGTCCTAGTGTTTAATATGGAGCATCCTGATCCATGAGCTGTACCTTTGTATAAATGATGGAATAGCGGTGGTCACAAGTAAGCAATTCTGAACAAGGATTTGTTTGCAAAATACCATGAAAACCAATGTAGCTAAAAAATTATAGATATAAAAAAAATCCCAACAGTTTGGACTTCAAGACATATGTCTGACATCTGAGGACTAAAGGAAATGAATCACTCTTTTTCAATCTAATGCAAAATTCTTTTTTTTTAAAGTTTCTCATTGTTCCATTTCAGTTTCTCCGAAGATATCTCGTATTTCAACTGACATTGTTGTGAATGAAGGAAGCAATGTTACACTTACTTGCTTGGCCACTGGGAAACCAGAGCCTTCCATTTCTTGGAGACACATCTCTCCATCAGGTAAGCACAAAACCTTTTTTAACCCAGAGTTTCTCTCTTTCAGGAAATCCATCGCCATTCATGCCTTTATAGATTAGGAAGCGACACCACTAGTTTTGTGTGCCCAGTTTAGGACAATTGGACCAGATTTTCAGAGAAGGTGAGCACTCACAAACTCTAGCTGAAGTCAGTGAGGGTTGTGGGTGCTCAGCACCTGTTAGACTCAGGCCCTTAAACATAGGGTTAGACACACAAATTGAGATACCAAAAATTCAACTTCACTTTTGAAAATCTGGGCCTAAGTGACTTGTCTAAGGACACAGAAGAGATTCATTGTCAGAGACAGGATGAGAGTTCCTGGTTCGCAGGTTATGCTCATTTCAACTGACCATAGTAATCTATCAAACATCTCAAAAAACAAAGGAATCTTTCAGACACAGTTCTCTATACCTAAAAAGGAAAGATGAAATTTACAGCATTCTGATTTAATATTTTTTAATATTTCACTACCACTGAGCATTGTGATTATGCTGTTATACAGAATAGTTTATCAAAATGGTTTTAAATTAACTTATACATGAAAAATTGCAAACAAACATGATATCTAAAGAAATAATTGTGATTCTGATTCCACATATAGAATTCTTTTTATATTTTAAAGTAATTTTTGTATGTGACTGACAGAGTTAAACTGTTTTTAGTATGATAGAAAAAAATATTCTTCAGGGGCCTCTGTATATTCCCACTGATGGCAAGAGCACCTTATTGCAAGTTGTGTTCATAGAGAAGTGCTCAGGTACACTGTAGCTCCTTCAAGCTTTCAGTGCCTGGGGCTGTATAAGGGAGTTCCACTCCTCAGCTGTTTCAGTGCCTGTCTATCTCTGTTGCTGACTGCTGAAGGAACTTCACTTCCGTGTTTCAGAGCTTTGGCTCTGACAGTCCTCTGTGTTTTATGTCTAGCAGGATTGCCGTCCACTGCCAAATGGAAGTGGTACACAGCATTGGTGCTGGATCTGGAATGTTTTTATGTGGATATTTTTATTTATTTTAAACATAAAGGGTCTGTTCTACTCTCTCACTTGTTTCAAAGAACTTTTCTGAAATCCATTGAGTTGTTTGGGAGTATGTTGTCACTGAATTACTGTCTCCCATTACTGGAGTATAAGACTGATTTGATGATTGTTCTGTAACTAAAATATTATATTTCCCTTTATTTACTTCCACATTAATTATTTAGTTTGAAAGGTTGCTGGAGAGATCACGTTACTTGGCATTACTTTCTGGTTGCTTAGTCAGATGTTTGGATACTTTTAATTTAGAATGGATGACTGAATGTGTTCTATATTGACCAGAGTAATGGCAATTAATTACTGTATGTGGTGGAACACAGCATAGTGTGCCTAAAAGTGAGTCTGAACAATAGTTTGCTTTACAAAACAAGATTTGAAAAAGTTACTATTGGCCTTTAAAACAATGACAATGAAATCTGTTTCAAGTGACCACTGATAAACTAGAAAAAAATCAGTTGCATCGTAAAGATGGTTTATAACTAAATGTCAATCAAAATAGTATCAGGAACCTTGGGGAGACTTTAGAACGGTCCACGGGGGAGGGAATATGTTGGGTTGCTTGTGAAAGACTCTTGCTTGTCTTTCTAAAAGGTATGTTCTAGCTCATCTAGAAGTTATGGACTTGATGAAATTTTATGGCTTGTGTGACACCGAAGGTCAGCCTAGAAATCATTATAGTCCCTTTTGGCCACGCAATCTATAAGTCTTTTAGCCAAGTAGTGTTAATGGTTTCTTGAAGGGGAAGCATCCAGACCATTCTTGTTCATTGCATATTATCCACAAGATATTGCTCCCTTGTTAGGTTAGGTTAGTTGTCATGCTGTTGCTTGGACAGCATAGAGGACACCAAATTCATTATGTGCCTCCATGATGTTCTGTTCTGAGCCAAATTTGATGTGTTACGGGATTGGATGCCTGTAAGGCACAGGTGTCTGTTAACGCTTCTCCAGCCATCATGTTTTAGATCTTCCAGGGGGTCTTTTCCATTCTGCTTTTATTGGGTCAAAGTCAAAGACGACTCTCTCAGGGAAGTTGGAACACATTTGGAGCAGATGACCTTAGAACCTTAGAGAGCGTTGAGTGCCAGTTGATGTTTTCAGTCATTTTGGAATGCTTCATTTGAATGGTGTCCAACTTCTTTTCAATCTTGACAGTGTGGTGCCTGTCCCATAGGTCAGAATGCTTGTCACTGAAACATTAAAGCTCTTTAGCAGCAAAGCGTCATATTGCTATTTACCAGTGTGTTTGATTTGTGAAAGTAGGTACTGATAACATATGCAGTGCAGGTTTCAGGTTCTTACTTGCCGCTACTCATGTTATTGACAACAGAGCCGAGGTAGGTGAAATCACCAATAGTCATGACTGTGTGGTCACCCACGAAGATGCTAGAGTCCTCAGTGTGTTTGCAATTGCCACCTGGAAGAATTTTGGTTTTACATCAACTAAGTTTTGGGCTGACTTTTGCCACTGAGCTTTCCTAGGCTTTAAGTGTCATAACCAGCTCATCCATTGATTCAACAACTAGCGCTACATCGTTGGCAAAATTGAAGTTAGTACGGTTTTTAACATCAAGGTATATACCTAAAATGCATTTACTTGGTCTTAGAAAGACAAAATGGGTGAGGTAATATCTTTTATTGGACCAACTTCTGTTGGTGAAAGAGACAGAAGTTGGTCCAATAAAAGACATTACCTCACTCACTTTGTCTCTCTAATATCCTGGGACTGACACAGCTACAACAACCCTTTACTTAGTCTTATCAAGTACGTATTCTCTGATGCCATTAAAGAGTTCTGGGGTGGCATGCCTGACCTAATTAGTAAGAAGGTAGTTCTTTTCCCATTTACAAGAATGCAGTTTGAGGAGTCATCATATTAAAGAGAGAACATTCTACAGAGTTTGTCAGGGAGGCATGTGAGTTTCAAGATCACTCAAAGTGATTCCCTGTCAATAAAGTCAAACGTGGCCTTGATACCCACAAATGCAATGTGAATGGGGTGCTTGAATTCTCATACCTTCTTGATAAGCTGGTGCACTGTGAAGATTTGCTTCATCATGGAACGACCAGGAGTGAAGCCAGCTTGAACTGATCTTCTCTTTCTTCTTAAGATATCAGTGGTTCAGGCCAACTAGATGGAAGAAAAACTTTCCCTAGGATGGCTAGAAGAGTAATGCTGTGATAGTAAAAGCAGCCTTTTTGCTGCCAGTAATGCCTTTTTGTCATTTGGACAGGTTCTCCAGATTACATTGAACAGTGTCTGCAGCCACAAAAGAATAGGTGGTCCAGTGCATTTTAACAGTTCTGCCAGAATTCCACATATTCCTGTCACCATATGTCCCTTAAGCTCCCTTGGGACTAAATGAAAACTAGAATACTTCTTCAAATGATTTTCCACTGTTGAAGTGCATGTGCCCTATCTGTGCAAAATGGGATGTTTTTTGAATAGTACTGTCCATTAGGGCGACACCTGTCCCCTGGCCACTTACTCTTCCTGTAGTCAAGAATATAAGGGGTGGAGCAGCTGTAACCTCCATTCAGTTCCATGCAGCAGATGGCTGAGACAGAACCCTGCTCTGCATAAGATGGCTGATGCTGATGCTGTTCTACAGTTGTCTTTGTCCATTTGCATATATTAAAAACAAAACAAAACCTCTTAGACTTAGATTACTGATTTTCCTGCATAGGGGTTTAACCCCTCCCCCCCCCCACGCATGCACCACCTTGTAGAAGGATCTGCCCTGTACAATAATTCAAAATGGCCAGCACCAATTCCCTGTGGTTTAAGTTTGCCCCTCTTGTGATGAGGCAATACCTGTGAATGATGGCTATGCTCAATGCCTATTGTGCCTGGGAGAGGGATGTACTCCAGAGAATGGTTAGATTTGCAAGTCCTTCTCTGAAAGGACCCAGAAAGTGATGGAGGCAAAACTGAAACTTTTTCTCCTAGAAAAGTCCATGCAAGCAATATCAAACCCTGGCAGACCCTCCAAGAAGCTCCAGCTACTGGGTCCACCTCAAACATCAAGTGTCCTGGTGAGCCAAGATACCACCCCAGGTTCCCAGAAAACCTCTCATGAGCCCCACTCATCAGGCATCTCAGTGATGACTTCAAACAGGGGCCACAAGGAGTCTTGCTCTGATGTGTCTGCACCAAAACCCAAACTGGCACAATGGTCTCTACACACAACAAGGACTGTGCTGCCTCCAGTAGCAATAATAGGTGCTGACTACTATATCAAAGCCTCAAGCACTGTCTGTCTCTGCACCTGAAGCTCCAGCACAGTTTCTCCGTACCAAGAACCACTGCTTCAACTCCCACCACTGCCTTGGTACTGACCAAATTCTTACCCAAACTAGTTTGAGAGCTCTCTTCAGTGGCACCAATGCACTTCACAGCAACCTGAGACCTTTCATTCTGACCAGTTCTGGACTCATCTCTCACTAAAAGGCGGCAGGAGGTTATCTCTAAACCATTCCTGGCACTGATGCTACACAGAGCACACTGGATAGAACTGCCACTCTGCTAGAAGAGGTGTATTTCTTTATCTCCCCAGAAGAGGAGAAACAAAGCAGACCTTCCTCACAAGAATATTCCCTTTCACTGTCTTGGGTAGCTCAATGTGAGTCTTCCGGAGATTTGAGAGAGGAATCCTTGAAGGATACCAGACCATGCAAGACCCATAGGGAACCCCCTACCTGCTGCCCACCCATGTGTCCCTGTTCTCACTACCCTAATTAACCATGGTCATACTGATTTCCCTGGGTAATCAATCCATGTGCTATGAAACCTGCATTTTCAACTGCACTCCACACAATGAATACAGATGTCCCATTTTCTTAAGCTCCTCTCGTGTCCCATCTTCTACTGATGGAGAGTTAGGAGGAATATAATGGTGATGATTGCTCTTCTGATCCACAGCATCAGCTATCTGTAACCATCTCATCTTCC